CAGCTGTACCCTGCGGATCAACTGAAATTCCATCCTTACTGATTACATGTCCCAAAAACATAACATTGTCAAGCCAAAATTCACATTTAGTCAGTTTAGCATACAGTTTATATTCTCTTAGGGTCTGTAGGGCAAGTCTCAGATGATGTTCATATCCTCATTATGGCACAAACGCCTAGGTCACATCTCTAAATCTAGAGTTGAGCGTCTTATGTCTGATGGAATTTTGGACTCTCTTGATTTTTCAGAATTTGATGTCTGTATTGAGTGTATCAAGGGAAAACAGACCAAAATGAAGAAATTTGGTGCCCATAGGTCTACAGATGTCTTAGAATTAATTCATACAGACATCTGTGGGCCATTCCCTATGACGTCTTGGAATGGTCAACAGTATTTTATCACATTCATAGACGACTATTCCAGATATGGGTATCTATTTCTTATCCATGAGAAATCACAGTCTTTGGACGTATTCAAAAAATTTAAGGCTGAAGTTGAGCTACAACTCAACAAACAGATTAAAAGTGTCAGGTTTGACCGTGGTGGTGAATACTATGGAAGATATGATGGATAAGGTGAACAACGTCCAGGACCGTTTGCAAAATACCTGGAGGAATGTGGAATCGTCCCACAATACACCATGCCAGGATCACCTAGCATGAATGGTGTATCTGAGAGACGAAACCGGACTCTTAATGATATGGTAAGAAGTATGATCAGTCATTCTATTTTACCAGAGTCCCTCTGGGGTGAGGCTCTAAAGACAACAACTTATATCTTAAATCGGGTGCCAACTAAAGCAGCTGCAAAAACACCTTATGAGCTTTGGGTTGGGCGAAAGCCTAGTCTAAAACATTTGCATGTGTGGGGGTGTCCTGCTGAGGCGAGGCCTTATAAACCTCATGAACGAAAATTGGACTCTAAAACCATTAGCAGCTACTTTATTGGCTATGCCGAACGATCCTGGGGTTACAAGTTTTATGATCCCACAAATAGGTCAATATTTGAGACGAGAATTGCAACATTTTTTGAGGATGTTGAGTTTGGGGGGAGAAATCCAGTTAGAGACATTGTCTTTGAAGAGAAAGCAGGAGTAATCCCACTTCCTACTACTACTTTTGACCAATCACAGGTTCCTATACCTGTCATTGCTCGAGAAGTAATTTCGAATCCTCAACCAGACAATGTTGTTCAAGATAATATAGTTCAAACCCCCATTCAAGATGAGGTAATTGTTCCTGAAGAACAAACTCTACAACCTCAACCTCAAGAATCTGTGCCATTAAGGCGATCCACCAGAGAAAGGAGATTTGCATTTTCAGATGATTATATTGTATATCTCCAGGAACATGAGGTAGAAAATGGAATGTCGAAAGTGGATAAGAATTTTTTTATTTAAATTTTTTCCATATGAATGAAGAATATAAGTCTATGCAAGACAATAAAGTTTGGGAACTTGTCTCATTACCAGTTGGTGCGAAGCCCGTAGGTTGTAAATGGATATTTAAAACCAAAAGGGATTCAAATGGTAATGTGGAGAGGTATAAGGCACGTCTTGTAGCCAAAGGCTTTACTCAAAAAGAAGGAATTGACTTTAAAGAAACTTTCTCTCCAGTTTC